AGAGGTCAAGAGACACTCAGAAAATATTCAGACTGGGAGGTTACTGAGTTAGTTTACGAGGCAAGTAGACAGGAAGATCACTGAGAAAGGTAGACAGGAAGGTTCCTGAGACAGGTAGAGAGGAAGGTCACTGAGACAGGTAGAGAGGAAGGTCACTGAGACAGGTAGACAGAAGCGAGATCGAGAACAGTACTCGCGTCACACGAAGCCATACTGTAGCGTTCCCCTTCATAGGTGTATTGTGTTTCTCCTCGTTGACACGTGTGTGTGTGTGTGTGTGTGTGTGTGTGTGTGTGTGTGTGTGTGTGTGTGTGTGTGTGTGTGTGTGTGTGTGTGTGTGTGTGTGTGTGTGTGTGTGTGTGTGTGTATGTGTGTGTGTGTGTGTGTGTGTGTGTGTGTGTGTGTGTGTGTGTGTGTGTGTGTGTTCAGTTAAGCTTGCACGGGTAGAATTATAAAGAACACAAAGGCACAATACCCTGACTGGAACAATACACAAATAACCCGCACATTGGGGACAGAAGTTTACAACGACGTTTCTGTCCGACCTGAACCATTTACAAAGTCACACTGAAGAGTTATAGCTCTCATTCCCTCCTGAGCTGCAAGTTTATTGTGCACCTCTGCTCATCCTGTCAGTGATAACTCAAAAAATATTACAAAAGGTTACAAAGGCTTTTATCAAATAACATTCAGGTATACAATTATAACTTTGAAAATTACAAAGCTGAAGAGGTCTCAGCTGTAGCCCGAAATATACCATTTGTCTTAGTTACTTTTCTCAGTCGGTGGGTTTACATTTCATTGTCCAATACAGTATTGTACTTTTCCATCCTTAACTCGACTATACACCCTCGCCTTTAAAAGAAAATAATGGACTCAGTGTTTGTTTTGTGTGATTCTTGTAGGATTATTAGGGTCTTCGATCCCTTCATGGAGGAGTCATATGTGGTGTCATCTAGCAAAGGGATTCTCTTAGTTTTCCTATATGTCCTTGCCTGCTGTCTTTATTCCTTATCCTTAGGGGATTCTTTTGTGTTCTTCTCAGTTATTGTTTCCTTAGGGTAGGCGGCTTGACTTCTCGCTTCACCTACACCCTTCTTGAAGTCCACGTACACATTTTGTTGTTCCAATTTGTTTTTTCTGTCGGAATATTCTGTTGTATTTAAGGCTCCAGGTAAATTTCCTTTATTCATTTGTTATAACCTTTATCTAATGCCTTGGACCTCAGCTTTCTTTATCTAAGCTTTTGTTTTCTCTCGGTCCTCCTCGAAGACCGAGGTGGACGGGGACGGGATTTTTCTGTGTTCTGGCTGTGTACATACGTCCTCCTCATCACTAAGATAACGTAAAGTAACGGTTTGACAAATCTCCTGGAGAGCGAAACGTTGCCACAATAAAATGTCACATTAGTTGCACTTGTGTCCTTTTGCTTTACATCACTAAGATACTCGTCACATCCCTGAAGTGACTGTTCCATCGAGACGGAGCTCTAAACACTGATGAACACCTTATTTTAAGAGGCTGTGACTTGTTCATGACCTCTCTATGACCATGACCTGCTTTCGATTCAAAGTGGTACTCTTTACCAAGTTGCAGAAAAGTACCGAGACCTGTCACTTGAATTAACAGAAAGGACGGACACCTGTGTAAAATTTAGTTGCAGGAAACATTTCGCCAGTAGCGGCTTCACCTGATAAAGCCACTACTGGCGAAACGTTTCATTTAATAAATGTCCTGAACTGTACACAAGTGTCCTTTTCCAAAGCCTGTGTGTTACCTTACCACTTACAACCGCATGAGAGTCCACTTACAAGGTTGAAGTCTCGTCTTGTCTTGTGTTTGATCTTCACATTCACGTATAAATATGATCTTACCTTTGCTCAGTTCGTTTATTTTTTTGTGTGTGTGTTGTTTTTCATTAAGGTTGACATTGTTTAATAAAGTTTCGTTAAATTTGTAACTCGATTCATTTAATATATATTTTTTTATACTGGTTTAATTTTCCATATTATCTTCTGCAGGGAAAACTTAACAGCTGTCCTTCCCTCCCTTCCTCCACAATCTTTATCGCATTATCTTGCTCCTCTCTTTTATCCTATGTTGCTTCTCCGTCATTCTATCGCCACCCTTTCTCACTGTATAAATAAATTATCTTGTCACTTGCCCTTCGCTATTTCAATTCAACTTGCCATACTAGGAGCTGTACAGAACAGGGATGGAAATCCTCAGCTCTAGATCTCTCGCACTCTCGTGCGTCGTCAGGAGCTATGCAATGTTGCAAGATAGCAACAGAGAGGAGGGGGAAACTGTGTGAGGCAAGGAAGAAGGCATCACCAAGCGGCCCATGACACAACTTTATCATGGATGTTGCCTCATCTGTCTCGCCTCAGATAATTTTTCCCTTCTATCTGTTGCTATCTTGCAACATTGCATAGCTCCTGACGACGCATGAGAGTGCGAGAGATCTAGAGCTAAGGACTTCCATCCCCATGTGGCTTGTTTTGCATTAAGATTGCCTGTTTGCAGTTGTATTGCATCAGGAGCTGCAGAGCCATCCCACCACTCCACACACTCTACATAACATTGTCTCTGCACACTGATCTCAGATTCGATATTTGCAACGTCTAAAACATCTGGTGAGTGCAGGGAACACCCGTCTCTCTCACCCACACACCAGCGTCACAACCACTACACTACCACAGTTTGCAAGGGCAAGTCTCTACTCAGACAACGTGTTGCTCAGTGTAGAACTGTACTATCATGTTGCGTTGAAGACTTACACTGAGCGAATTACTGTCAGTATAAACATCTGTGATACAATCACTTTCCATCATTCTTGTCAGTGTTGTTTCTTGATCATCTCAGACGTTACACACACTCAACTTTTTTATTCATTAATAAACTTTTTTTTTTTTTTTACAGATTTCTCAACTCTGCTGCATCTTTGTTGCATCAAGTATCACACACACACACACACACACACACACACACACACACACACACACACACACACACACACACACACACACACACACACACACACCACAAACACACACACACACACACACACACACACACACACACACACACACACATACACACGCACACACACGCACACACACACACACACACACACACACACACACACACACACACACACACACACACACACACACGGATGCCTTGACGATGTTTCGTCCAAACAAACCGAGATATTTTTGCCATGAGAATTTTCTTTTCCTCTGACGTTTCCCGACGTAATGTGACGCTTTTCTTTCTTATTGAGAGTCCGGTGATACTCTTCCGTTAAAAAACTACTGTAAGGTTAACCTTTAATTTCCTTTCTCTTATTTTCATCTTTATTCCAGTCTAGCAACTCTCCCTCTTCTTTTTCGTTGCCTATTTTACCCATTCCTATGGGACAGTTTTATTCCTGTACACTCCGTATTTCTTATTTTTCTCTGATTACTTCCCTCATCCTCAGAGAAGACAATAAACGTACCTCAGGGAAAACTCAAGGTTCTCCCCGGAGCTGTTTGAATATTTTCTTCTCCTACCACCCCCTATATTATATATATATATATATATATATATATATATATATATATATATATATATATATATATATATATATATATACCTGAAAATTTAGCATTATTATTAATGTTGACAAAGATTTTTTTAATGAAATTAATTCACGTAATATTGTTGGGATTATCTGTAAGAGTGATTGTAAAATATATGAAAACGGTTGAGTGAGAAGTTGCAGGAGAGTTGACTGTGATGTTGCAGGAGAGTTGACTGTGATGTTGCAGGAGAGTTGACTGTGATGTTGCAGGAGAGTTGACTGTGATGTTGCAGGAGAGTTGACTGTGATGTTGCAGGAGAGTTGACTGTGATGTTGCAGGAGAGTTGACTGTGATGTCGCAAGAAAGAGTTGACTGTGATGTTGCAGTGATGTTGCAGGAGAGTTGACTGTGATGTTGCAGGAGAGTTGACTGTGATGTTGCAAGAAAGAGTTGACTGTGATGTTGCAAGAGAGTTAAGTGAGATTTTTCAAGAGTTGACTGTGATGTTGCGACAGAGTTGACTGAGATGTTGCAAGAGAGTTTACTGAAATGTTGCAAGAGAGTTGACTGAGATGTTGCAAGAGAGTTTACTGAAATGTTGCAAGAGAGTTGACTGAGATGTTGCAAGAGAGTTTACTGAAATGTTGCAAGAGAGTTGACTGAAATGTTGCAAGAGAGTTGACTAAGATGTTGCAAGAGAGTTGACTGTGATGTTGCAGGAGAGTTGACTGTGATTTTGCAAGAGAGTTGACTGTGATGTTGCAAGAAAGAGTTGACTGTGATGTTGCAGGAGAGTTGACTGTGATGTTGCAAGAAAGAGTTGACTCTGATGTTGCAAGAAAGAGTTGACTCTGATGTTGCAAGAGAGTTAAGTGAGATTTTTCAAGAGTTGACTGTGATGTTGCGACAGAGTTGACTAAGATGTTGCAAGAGAATTAGCTGAGATGTTGCAAGAGAGTTGACTGAAATGTTGCAAGGTAATCAGCTGAGATGTTGCAAGGTAGTCAAGTGAGATGTTGCAAGGTAGTCAACTGAGAGGTTGCAAGGTAGTCAAGTGAGATGTTGCAAGGTAGTCAACTGAGAGGTTGCAAGGTAGTCAAGTGAGATGTTGCAAGGTAGTCAACTGAGAGGTTGCAAGGTAGTCAAGTGAGATGTTGCAACAGAGTTGACTGAGATATTGCAAGAGAGGGTTAACTTATTTTACATAGAGATGACAAAGATGTTGCAAAAGAGAATTGACTAATATGTTGCAAGAGTTGATTGAAATGTTGTAAGAGAGAGTTACTACAATGTTGCAAGAGAGTTGACTGAAATGTTGCAAGAGTTGACTGAAATGTTGCAAGAATTGAGTGAAATGTTGCAAGAGAGAGTTGACTGAAATGTTGTAAGAATTCAGTGAAATATTGCAAGAGAGAGCGTTGACGTTGTTACCTTCCGACTGGTGGTGCAGTGAGGACACGGGGTGTGACGGTGAGTTAGTATTCCATGACACAGTGTCACCTGGTGAACACGGAGCACCTCCCTCAACACACCTCAAATGCTACTATACTGAACACACTACCAGCCACCGACCCCCCCTAACCTGCTGCACGCTAGGGGGGTCCTCGCCCCCTATCCAGCAGCTCATAGGTGGAGCCAGGGGGTCTGAGGCCACACCCACCGGGATAAATGGACCAATCCCCTGCTGCTTGGCGATGGAGACGGCCAATCAGCGTGTTGCTCCCCTCCCCGACTCCGCCCACCTCCAATGTTATTGTCCAGAGGGAGGTTGCCAGTTCACATTTATGAGAAATTATGATACAAGAGATAGAATTATTTTAGGCCTTGATGACTGGGTTATCCCAGTGAACTGTCGTTTCTGTGGGGTCGTACCACGACTACCTGCTGTCATTTAGCACTGGGAGTCTGTCGTTACTGGTTTATTGTGGCTTTCCCAATAGAAATAAGTCACTTCGACTTTTTTGGGTTATCCTAGGTAATCTACACATATACTGCTATGTAGGATAATTTATGTAACTATTTATGTGTACATGTACAGGAATAAACTTACTTATGCAGTCCCTGCTTTGTAGGAGGTCGGAGGTTCGAGCCTCGAGTGTGTCCCATATCCACACTGAATAAAATACCATAGATACGTCAACCTCATAGATGGTAGAAGTTAACAGTTATAATGGAACTCTTGGATTCATTCTCAATACGGATGTTGCTACAAACAAGGCTTAAGCTGTTGCTTTATCTTGTAACTAAATCTGGTTATTGCAACATTTGTTGTTCGAAAGAGGTATCTTCATGCTGGTGAAGGGTTCTTAATCCAAAACTTTGGAGCTACTCTCCCTTTCCTCGGATGTAACATGTCTGCAGGTTAGATAAGTGCATGTGTGTGGGTGGGTGGGTGTGAGTTTGACCTGACTAGCTTCTGCTGTTAGGTCAGATGCTGTGCTCCTTCATTAAGCCGGTAGGAAAATTGGGCCTGCCTCGCATGGGCCAGTAGGCCTGCTGCAGTGTTCCTTCTATCTTACGTATTTATGTTCTTATCCCGTTCCCCAAGAGAGGATTCCAACCTGTAACGACTCATGTCCCAGCCAGGCCAAAATATCCTTTCTGCGGTACTCCAGGTACCTTGTAACATTGATATGAAACACACACACACACACACACAACACACACACACACACACACACACACACACACACACACACACACATACACACACACACTACGCAGCACCAGAATGGAACCCACACCTGAAATTAGAGAAAGTGCAAAGTTTTGCAACAAGGTTAGTTCCAGAGCTAAGGGGAATGTCCTATGAAGAAAGGTTAAGGGAAATCGGACTGACGACACTGGGGGACAGGAGGGTTAGGGGAGACATGATAACGACCTACAAAATACTGCGTGGAATAGACAAGGTGGACAAAGACAGGATATTCCAGAGATGGGACAAAGAAACAAGGGGTCACAATTGGAAGCTGAAGACTCAGATGAGTCAAAGAGATGTTAGGAAGTATTTCTTCAGCCACAGAGTTGTCATGAAGTGGAATAGTCTGGCAAGCGATGTAGTGGAAGCATGAACTATACATAGTTTTAAGACGAGGTATGATAAAGCTCGTGGAGCAGGGAGAGGGAGGACCCAGTAGCGGTCAGTGAAGAAGCTGAGTCCCGAACCCTGCAACCACAATTAAGTGAGCACAAACACACACACACACACACACACACACACACACACACACACACACACACACACACACACACACACACACACACACACACACACACACACAAACACACACACACAAGGGTTCACACTTGGAAGGGATGTTACATAAACAAACCAGTACTTTCCTATATCCTTCCTGAATCCGAATTTTTCCAACTTGAAACCATTGCTGAGAGTCCTGTCTTGGCTAGATATTTTTAGTACGCTGTTTATTTATTCCTGTTTTCCATTTATACACCTCAATCATTTCCCCCTTAATTCTATGCCTTTCTAGAGAGTGCAGATTCAGGGCCCTCAGTCTATCCTCATAAGGAAGATTTCTGATACATGGGATCAACTTTATCATTCTCCTTTGTACGTTTTCCAGTGCATTTATATCCATTCTGTAATACGGTGACCAGAACTGAGCAGCATAGTCTAAATGAGGTCTAACCAAGGATATATAGAGTTGACGAACAATCTGAGGACTCCTATTATTAATGATTCTTGATATGAAGCCAAGAATTCTGTAGCGTTATTGCAAACACTAATGCACTGTTGTCTTGGTTTTAGATTACTGCTAACCAGAACTCCTAAATCCTTCCGCAATCAGTAATATTAACATCTACATTATTTAGTTTATGTGTCATGGTTATTTTCCTGTCCAATGTTTAGAATTTTGCATTTGTCTATATTAAACTGCATCTGCCACTTCTCCGACCATTGCATCAGTCTATTCAAATCTTCCTGGAGTGCTCTAATGTCCTTCGTCAAAATGAATTCGACTCCCTATATTGGTGTCATCGGCAAACTTGCTTATGTCGCTATTTATTCCCTCACCTATGTCGTTTATGTAGATCGTGAACAACAAGGGGCCCAACACTGACCCCTGTGGAACACCGCTCGTGACGCTTCCTCATTTTGATTTCTCCCCATTTATGCAAACTCTCTGCTGCCTATTTGTCAACTATACCTCTGTCTAGGAAAAAAATTCTCCTCCTATTCCGTGTGCCTTAATTTTCCTCAATAGCCTCTGATG